ACCATTCAAACAGTGAAGCAGGTTAGCTAATTACAAAGAGATTATTGTTACACCAGAACCAGAGAGAAGAACACAAAACAGGTGTATAGAATACTCTAATATGTCCTCTTTTCTGAACAAATAAAATAAGAGTCTACACTTATCACTTTGTAAACTAAGAGCCTTCATTTTTTTTTCTGATCTATTTTGTCTTGAATTTGGACATTCCCCCCAAAGGCTCATATATTGAAAGCATGGTTTCCAATGCAGAAAGGTTCAGAGGTGGGATTTCTTGGCAATGATTGAATCATGAGGGTTTTATTCTCCTAAGTGGATTAATCCTTTTGATGGATTCATACCTGAATGGGACCTTGTTAGAGGAAGTGGGTCACTATAAGTATGCCTTAGAGTTAGTCTTTTCTCCAGGTTTCTTCATATTCATATTCTCTCTCTCTCTCTCTCTCTCTCTCTCTCTCTCTCTCTCACACACACACACACACACACACATACACACACACACCTACCTGAATTGCATGAGTTGAGTAGCTTTCCTATGTCATGCTCTCGACCATGTTGGTTTACCTCACCTCAGACCAAGAGCGATGGAATTAGCCCAACATTGACTGAATTTTCTGAAACCATGAGCCAAAAATAAACTTCTAAATCATTCTTGTCACATATTTTGGTCAAAGCATTGAAAGGCTGACTGACACGTGATCCTAGTGTTGTCTTCTTTTACTAAATTTCAAAGTGGTGACCCACTGTATTTTGAATATTTAGGTATGTGTAACTCATCTTGGTAATATTGATCGGGTTTTGTGATTATTCATAAGTCTGGTATGATATTCTTACTTGTAATTACCAAGTAGGTAGCCAAACCCAGACTGACTTCTTCAGCTTCATACACACTAACCATGTGTCAACCCTATACATATACCTGAATATACACATGCACATACATTAAGCATATTTAAAATATTTTATAACAATTTATGAATAAACTATTTTTATAAATTTAATGGTTGAAATAAGTAGCATTAATTGCATTTCATTTGCCATATATAAAATACTTTTCAAAAATATCATTTGTATAGAATTTTGAGAAAAACTGCACTAACTATCCTTATGCATACCTCCAGTGCACATGTACAAGATTTTGTCTCGATGTACTCATAGGGGTGGAATTGCTGGGGCATAACTTACTGGCAACTTCATATTTACTAGATACAGCCAAATGATTCTTGGCATCTGTAGTATCGAAGTTCACTTTTAATAATATAAGTCAGTTTCAATTATTCCATGTCTTTTTCAATTATTGATAATATCTGATATATCATTCAACATTTATTTTGTCTAATTAACTGCCTGAAAAAATGATGTTGTGGTTTTTGTTTTGAATCTCCTGAATGAATCTGGTATGAAGTTTTTATTATGGGCTTCAGTCTAAAGGGTATGGCATGAAAAGGGAGAACACAATCCTAATCATGAGAAATGCTTTAGGCAAATTCCATTGAGGAACATTTTCTAAATGTGTGACCATTACTTTTCAAAACTGTTATGGTGATCAAAACAAAAAAAAAAAAGTCTTAGAAAACTATGCAAAGGAGCTTAAGAGACTAAGGAAACATAATTACTAAAGGCAATATGGAACTCTTGATCAGAAGAAGGACATTAGGAGAGAAATTAGAGAAATAATGCATCAATATTTGCTCATTTAGATCTATCGACTGCAATGTTTTTAAAGTAGTAAGAAATGTACCCTTGTTGTACAAGATGTTAATAATAATGTAAATTGAGTGTGTGATACACAAGAACTCTCTTTATTGTCTTGGCAAATTTTAAATATATGTAAAATGTACTCAAAAATAAATATCACAAATAGTTAAAATTCAAATTTTGTATATATTTTTTTCTAGCTCTGTTACTTGACTGACTGGCTCTACTGGGGAACATAGTCAAATTGGAATAGAGTAGCAGTTTGGACTTTTAAAAGATGCAAGCTGTTTTAAAGGTAGGTTGCAATTAAATCTTATCAAAATGTGTGATTTTAAGCTCTTAATAAATACTTCAAATTTTACATTATATTTAAGATTTATTTAAACATATTTCAATATAAATTGAAATAGTAAAATATTGATTGTATTATATATGTTTGACAAAACACCACAAAATTATGAAACTTTAGTAATCTTTCTTTATCAAGGAGTCTATATGTTTTAATCCCATATTGTATTTTTATCATGTTCTTTATTTGTATCCAGATATGAGAAGACCAGATAGTTATTTGCCTCTTAAAAACCATAAACTAATTTCCCTCTTTTATATTCTGTTTCCATGGTACTTTGACTACTCTTTCATAATTAACAGATATTACATTTGTTAAATTGGATGTGTCTCATTTCAAAGGCAAACATCATATGAAGCTCTCATTCAGAAAACAGATTCAAAGTCACATATTTTCTTGCCTTTATAAATATTAATATGGTTCATACTATGCAATTGTTTCTTTTGCTGACAACTGTAAGCTGCTTTTACTTTGCTGAAGGCAAGGATCTAAACTCTGATATTTAACTCTTACAGTTAATCCACATGGACACAATAATTAAAGAGCCATGCTAACACTCCCCATCTGGATATACTAGAGTCTATTCTTAGGATGTCGTTCAAAATAACCTTGATATTCACAGTTCCCAATCAGTAATTGATTAGAATCAGACATTAATTTAACAACTCAAAAAGAAAAGGTTAAGGAGATAAGGCCAGCATGTATAAACTAATATGTCTTCTAAATCTTACTGTGATATTTGTTTAAACTCAGTTCCTGTCCCTATTCATTAAATACAAAATACATATTTATTTTATATCAACAAATCTCAAGTGCCTAAACAAACACAAACTTTAGATAAATTTTCAAGATTAGAAGATGTAATCAACCTCTTTGTATCTCAGATATTATAGTATCTATCACCTGGGCTCATCTTTTTTGACCATCAATTTGTTTTCATTAATATTTAAAATTTTCAATCTTGATGTTGCCAAATCCTTGAATTACAGAAAAATTGAATCATTTTTAACATATATGCACTTTAATAGCTTTAGAGGAGGGTTTTAGTACAGATTTCATATATATATATATATATATATATATACACACACACACACACACACAGGATAAGAGAGATTAATAATTCTAATTTAATTCCTATAATGGGCAACTTGTTCTTCTCACACAGCCCATGATTATAGCAACCTAAATATTATGTATGGTACAACCATGAATAATAAATTAATTTCATGCTGGGATTTTGGCTCAGTGGTAGAGCGCTCACCTAGCATGGGCGGAACCCTGGGTTCGATTCTCAGCGCCACATAAAAATAAAAGATATTGTGTTGTGTCCATCTACAAAAAAAAAAAAAAAAATTCTCGCTGTCTCTTTCTCTCTGTCTCTCTCCTTTATAAAATTAATTAATTAATTAATTAATTTCAAAGGCTTCTAATTTATTATTATTTATCTATTTTTACTTATTTGGTTGTGCTAGTATTGAATTTAGGGTCTAGCATGTGGTAAGCAAGAAGTTTACCACTGAACAGTGCCTCCGCCTCATTCTAATGATGAATGCAACTCTTCTTCTGAAGCCTTATAAAGCATTAAATCATCTAAAGGTTCAAATATAAGAGCAGGAGAACACTTTTCTCAACTCTCCTTCGGTTCTTCCTGTGCTAAAAAAGTTAAAAATAAATAAAAGACATGAATAATTATTTGATGTAGAATGATTTAAAAATAATAAATGTAAAGAAATTGGTATGTTCACACCTTTTCTCCTATAATACAATTCATATTAAAACAGAAGATATTATGAGACAATAACTTACTGTTTCTTTTTTTCCTTTTAATATAAGGAGCAAACTTCATACATGAAAATAGATCTGAAAAATAATGTTACTGGAATGTCATAATAAAATAGAGTGACATTGGATAACAGTGAAGATTCATATGTATAATCAAATAGCTTTAAAGTTTTTTTTTTCAATGAAATTCATTGTCTTTTCTATAATTTAATTTTGAAAAGAAAAACTCCCTGGGGCCCATTTACAATCCTACCACCAACTTTACAAATTATTTCTTGAACAATGATAGAAGGGAATGTTCTTCTATTAACATTTTACAAAACTTGCTGCTTGTTTTACCCACTTCTCAGGTATATTCATGATTCTCTGGTAGGTATGAATTGATTGTGTATCATACAATAAAAGAAATGAAACCATAACCTTTTTTGTGGTCAAATAGCAGTTTTTGATAAATTATAGAATATGCTTTTTTCCCAATAATACAAAAAAATAAATATAAGGTTAGAATTTTTTCTGCCTGTAATGGTTGAAAGGAGTAGGAAAACAGAGACAGGAGGATTTTGGCTGAACTGTAAAGAGAAATGGAGAAAAATGCATATAAAATAGGATATAGATACATAAGTCATAAATATTTTTACTATTATTTTATGATTGATGAATTTTAAAGGCTCTGAAGAGGCAGGAAATGAAATGTGTGTCAAATATGAGACTATTTGGCAGATAAATCTACAAGAGTAGGCCTAGGTAATGAAGAAACTTGAATGAAATTTTAAAATGTCTGACCCGTGGGTTTTATGTGGTTTGTGCTGTGGAATCATGTTTTGTTGCTCTTGTTCCTTTTGAATGTAGAAAAACAATCTGAACAGGTGTGTGTACCTGTCTGTTCCTGCATGTGTGTATATAAGAGGATCATTGTTTACAATGTATTGGGAGATCACATGTTTCTGATATTTTGAGAGCACAAGTTAATTTTATTAACTAATTAATGTAGTTTCATTATTCTATCCTGTGAAATATTTGAGAAAAGTATGTGTATATAATTTGTATTTAAGACATTTATTTGTCTAGAGATACATTTAAAGAGTATAGTGTTTTAAGTGAATAGAATTCTTCAGGATTCATGGATATTGCATGTTGAAGATGAGACGAAGGGTATCAGCCTAAAGAAAGTTTTGGAAATGAGCTGTTGGCTGACACAAGCACACAGATAAAGGATATATCTTTTAAAACTCAAGTCTTCAGGGCATTGGTGTGAATATCAGGTCTTGACCCTCCGTGAACACCAAATCTCAACAGTGATGAGGTGAAACAGAAACTGATGGAAACACAGAGGGAATGGCTGAGCTGCTCAGCCAGGGGTGGATTTGAGCATTTATGGTTTTAGTGCTCATAGCACCCTGCTGAGTTGACAATAGGGTTCGAAAAAAAAAAAAAAAAGAATTGCAGAGCCATCTGTCTTTTGAAAAAACGTACTTTGTAAACCACAAGTAGAAATCATCTTGTACATTTTGTTAGTGCCGTTTCTCCCTGAGGAGATATTGTTTGGCTTGTAATTAGCACATCCGAAGAAAATAAATGTGGGGATACTTCTAATTTTGGCAATTGTCAAAGGTTAATAACTTGAGACATGCCTATTAGAATTTCACAATGGACTTGTCATTGGGAACTATGATTCATCATCCACTTAGAATAACAAGGATGGGAAAGAAAGGAAACTACAGAAGCAGTTGACTACTTCCACTTAGACTCTGTCAGACTTTTTATTCAAAAGAAATAGATGTTCCAGTTCCTCACAGTGGCTGCAAAACTCCAGGGTTATTAAGCAAGTTTACTACAGGCAATATAAGCAGGAAAAAAAAAATCTAAAAATGCTATCCAATCTTTCATGAATTTGCCTTTATTTAATTTGGTATTTCTTTGTTTATTTTATTTTATTTTTAATTTTAAAGAATCATAGGTCACAAGATGCTAATTAAATCTTCCACAGAAAATTAGGGTGTTTAATTCCAAGGAACATATATTCAATTAAGTTTAAAAGTCACTCTCTTTCTGTGACTCTTATGCTATCCTTTAAATAAATATGAGAGACATACATAAACAAGAAATTTGTTATTTGTTTCATAAATCTTTGACATTACCCTGCTTTTATGTCATGCTGTTTTGATACTATGTGACAGGTCATGACCCGGGTCAGTGTGCTATCATTCAGGTTAACTTAGAATTTCCTTAGTACATAAGCAAGTAACTGCATACAAGCTCTTTGTTTTATTAAAATAAAAAATACTGCAAGAGAGATGAAGAGAATGCTTGGTTATGGTCTACGGGACAACAATCCATAATTTACTTTGCAGATGTCTGTGTAATTTAAGCAGCAGGCAGAACAGCCACACAGTTGTAGCTGCTCTAGGGAAAGGATACCAAGAGGCTCATAAATCATGATGAGGATTAAAAGCAATGAGCATTCATCTTCCTAACCTCCTAAGACAATACGGGAAAGCCAAGTATAAGACCATACAGAGCATAGAATCTCAGTACAGGGATAAAGGTGTCAGGCTTTTATTTGTCTCAATTAGACTCGACCTCCCATTTGCAAGTCAGTAGAATATAATTTTAAAGTTTATTAAAAAGAGGCCTCTTCCACAACAAACTAAATTTTTTGAGTGATAAAAAATATTTGAGGGCAATATATAAATTGAGTCAAATTATACCCAGATATTAATAATTTTCTTAGATTGAGCTTATTTCCTCTTGGACAATTCATAGAAAATAACCTTACTAATAACTAGTCTATGAAGATTGTCATGTTCAGCTGAACATTTTTAAATGGTGGCATGTTATGAGAAAATTCTAGCTTAAGAGTAGTCAAGTGAAGGAGATGCAGACAGCTGGCTCTCTTGCTATGAAATTCAGTAAATAAATGGTCTGTTACTAATTGTTTATATTTAAAAAAATATTCTAATCAAAGGTCTTTGGATGGAAATGAGTAAATAATACACAGAGGTTTTGTTTTCTGCAGAAAATTGGAACTATAATCAAATTTTAAAGGTTTAAAAAAATACTGATTTATTAGTTTTTCCAGTCTTCTTTTAAATCAAATTCATGATAAAACTGAATTTACTAATTCTACAAAAATACAAGGTTGGCGAAAAAAGTAATGTAAT